CACACTGGCGCAGTAAAGATACTCAAGTTAGGTGTTTTTTATTCATCATGGGCGCATGAAAAACTTTAATGCAACATATTTTATTTTAAATGTTGGTTCGAATTATAGCTTAATGTTCATAATACCTTTATTTTGAAAACCGGAAGTGAATGTGCTGTTTCTCCGCCTTTATCGTAATGCTGAGAATACTCGCACAGTTGAAATTTACAAGCGGCTGACTTGACCACGGAGATCGAAGTTACAGCTGGCTTGACCGCAGTAAGCTACGTGCTGGGGGGGAATTGGTTCGTCTGTATTTTGTAGAACAGGGAAGATAACGTCAGTTAAGTTTAATTGTCTTTAACCTGGTAACTTACATATCTGCTGGGAAGCTAAGTATCTGTTCACCGTGTGGATCAATACAGCTGTGATCAGAAGACACCGTACTTGTACCGTGTATAAATTCAGCAGCGGAGGTCATTAGTTTGGTAGGATTGTAGCTTTGATTAGCACACAGCAGCTCTGTGATTTCACTGTTACTATAGTTACTGAGTCTGTCGGACTTTACGTTATAATATGAGTGGCAGTGTGATCGATAACCCTCGTTAAAAAACTACCAAAATACCGGGAGTGAGTTATGGTGATTCTTTTCTGTTTGTGTAACTTGCTAACGTGCTAACCAGCTCGGGCTAGATTCGTTGTTTTCTGTGTGTGTGTTACGGTGTGTGTGTGTTACGGTGTGTAAATGAACTTGATCTACGTGCACCGGAGTTAACGATAGAGCTACTGTGAGAGAGAAATAGTCAAACTGCAGGGATTCATTAGTTTAGTAATATTGTGTAACTTCGATGCTGTTTTCTGATCCATATATTTAGCGTTACTGCAGTACTGGTATTTAAGTGCACCTCCAGTGTAACATCTCATACTAGTATCATCTCCTATTGTATAATAAACAACACTGAGGCTCACTGCTAAATGTCTGTTATTGCACCAGCAACTTGTCACAACATCAGTTACAGTCACAGTAAATGTCCTGTGTGTGTATCTGCTGCCATTAGATAAACTAAACTCAGTAGCAGTGAGGAGCTAACTGGCAGCAACACTGAGGTGGAAGTGGGAGGGGCCGGAGCATCATACGCGTCATAATACCGACCAATCAGAGCAGACTGGGCTTTTCGGGAGGGGGGCCTTAAAGAGACAGGAGCAAAAACCAGTCGATTCAGACAGAGGCTGAAAAGAGGTGCTCAGCTATAGGCAGTATGAGAAAAATAATGTGTTTTTTGAACATTAAAACATCTAAACCTATTGTAGGAGAGCCACAAAATACAATTATGAACCTGAAAAGGGGCATAATATGTCTCCTTTAACTGAAGTACGTTTAAAAGCATTTATTAAAAAGATAAAGTAAAGACACACAATATGATCAAACTACAATGCACTGAATCAAACCATGCAATGCTGCTGAAGCAGAGAGATTGTGGGACGACCTGGAGTTTCCTTACTGCTGGTCAACATGTCATCAGAGAGTATCCGGTTACAGTCACAGGAAGTGAACATCATAATAAAAGTTAAGGTTAAATCACGCAAAAATGTGCACAGGAAGTCAATACAATCACACCATTGTTATGTTCTAGTTTTGATAATTGCATTAAATCTGCTAATCTTAAACTCAACTACAAATGTGTATTACTGTACATTTTACACTTTACCTTGTGTATATAGATATGTTTATATATATATTTATATATAGATATGTTCTTAATAATATTATATGTTCTATGTAAATATGTTGTATGTAGATTTGGAGTTGTAATAAAAGTAATTTACCCCTGGGATTATTAAAGTATTTCTGATTCTGATTCTGATTCTGAAATGCATACATAACCAGAGGTTCAAGCTTAGTAACACATGAAGAGTTCCCTGGCATCTTGGAAAACCTATACATTTAGAGACTAGTTTTCCAGTCATGGAAACACCAGGGAATTGATTAAAATGACCAAATATTGTGGAAATAATCACTCAGATCACCAATATAATTTTTCCATAGCTGTGAATAGGATTTTCAAGGAAGCCCAGTGGAATATCTACATGCATACACTCTATAAATGATCAAATTGGTTGCTGTGGCTGATAAATACATGCACAGTGATGTTAATTGTACGTACAACAACTTTCACTTTTTAGAAGATGGATTTTCTGTTTAAGAAATTAAATTCTATTTGATTTGAACGAGAGGAATTAGAGCAGAACTGTAATAAACTGTAGTCAATTCACAGAAGACTGCTCCGCTGAGACCGCAGAGGAAAATGTGTCCAATAAACGCTGGCCACCTACAATGTCTACCAGTAAATTATATGACAATTTGTGTGTGCCGTCCTGTACAGTTTAGAAACCTCTTGGAAAATTAAATATAAATTATATTCTTAAGAATGTAATTACCTGTTTTAAAGGAGACATATTATGCCCCTTTTCAGGTTCATAATTGTATTCTGTGGCTCTACTACAATAGGTTTAGATGTTTTAATGTTCAAAAAAAATTTTTTTTCTCATACTCGGGCCGATCGCGCCAATCAGATACCATCACCTGCCTGTCATCGTTTGACTCAATGTTAACTCGGTGTATTGTCATGCTGTGCCGTGCCGTGCCGTGTAAACTTAGTCCAGAGGTTGTAGCTTGATAGCATTATCATTCGCTAGCATGCTAGCTAACAATAGTTAACTGGTAAATCCTAATATAATATAATAATATAATCTATTGCCCCGTTCAGATACCATCACCTGGCTGTTAAGTGAAGAACAAACTCAAAATAGTGACTGTATTTCCAGCTAGCAAATGCGCATCTCTCTCCTCCCTCCATTGTTGTTTATGTTTGTGTCTGCGTAGCCTACACGTGAACTGTCCTCATGCTGAAAACGTGACTTGTCACACAGGCTACGTGACTTCACTCCCAGAGACGCAAGAAGAAAGCTAATATGTTTTTATTAAGGAAAATGACAAACATAGTAACGCACAGTGACTTGGATAAGTAACTTTAATCTGATTACCAGTTTGGAAATAGTAACTCGTGAAAAAAGTGGTCAGATTGGAGTAACGTTACGCTAAAATGAGTGGTAGCTTGCTAGCGGTTAGCCACTTAGCTAACAACTCGTACCTAGTCAGAGTAAACTACCACCAAAATCATACTTTTTTTTAAATATAATACTTCACCCAATACCTTACATTTCCCATGATTAAATATAAATCCTTGGTGGCCAGGTGCCGCACTTTCACGTCTTTCACCCATCCAGCCACAGCATACTGATAAGCATCGGTATTATTGCAAGCCTTCAAGCTATCCCCACTGTACGGGGAGGGGTTATGCACAAGATAAATGTGTATATCATGGAAAGCCAATTGGGGCAAACCTGGGGCAGATAATAAGGGACAAAAGAAAACTGGGGGTAACAAATTGAAGGTCTAAAATTGAAATTGTCTCCAGATAAATTTGGTTGTGTCTCATTCCGCATACTTCCGTCAGTACACTGCTAATGTGCACTGACCACTTACTGCCGTAGTGCCCACTTTCGATGGTTAGTATTATCCCAAAAGGAACACTTATGTTTGAACACTTACCGGAAATGACAAGCAGGATTAGCGTGACGAACGCAACACACGTGAACGCGATTTTCCAGCCCGCCAAAAATATATGCCGGCTTTTGTTTACAATCATTTTTCTGCACGTTCATTTACCGCTCAGTTCACAGCATGTGGAAACTACGTCGCCTCCGACACCAACGCAGGTTAGGGTAGCTAGGTAGCTAGGTAGCATTAACATGTAACGTTACGCTAATTAACTCGCCAAATGATTATGTCTGGCTTCAGTCAGTGTCAGTGAGGACATGTAAGTAATGCATTAGACGACAGTAAAACGTTTCGTATTACCGCTGTTACTGACATTAATACGATAGAGTTCACATTTATGGTCCCTAATGGTCCCTCCCCTTCTGCTTTTTTTTTTTTCACCGTTTTTAGGGGGGTCGTTCGCGTACTTTCAGTGCACTGACTTTTTGTGTTATCTACACTATATACATAAAACTAAGTGTTTGAAGTGTGCAAGCAGGCGGAATGAGACACAGCCTCTGTCTCTCTCTCTCATTCAAATGGGCAGTGTGGGCGGCCATACTGGGCGAGATCGGTCGTCAATATGGCGGCGTTCTATTTGATAGTGACGTAGGTGGCATCTATGAATAGCTGAGCAGCTCTTTTCAGCCTCTGTCTGAATCGATCGGTTTTAGCTCCTGTCTCTTTAAGGCCCCCCTCCCGAAAAGCCCAGTCTGCTCTGATTGGTTGGCATTATGGCGCGGTTCACGCGGATGACGCTCCAGCCCCTCCCACTTCTGCCTCAGCGTTGCCGCTGTTTTCGGCAGTTAGCGCCTCACTGCTACTGAGTTTAGCTGCATTTCTACCATCAATATAATTCAATAACTGCTTCTAAACCAAAAACTTCACCAGCGGACATTTTAGAGCGGGAGTCTGACCTGAAATCACAGAGAAATGAACAACATCAACAATCAGGATTACAGCTTTCTGTGACGTTTTCCTCAGGTAAATACTGCTATAAAAACCTCTATCTATCACATAATGTTCGTGTTTAGACCTTAACTATGAGAACCAACACTGTGTTTTATGCTTGTCTTTACAGGTACAGCAGTGAGCAGTGACCTACAGTCTACACTGCCCAGTGAAGTTAAAACATATTATATGCCTGGAATACTTTATCCTGTACAACATGTCAACATAACATAAATGTAGAATAGAATTTAAAATCCTCCTCCTCACCTATAAAGCTCTTCATGGTCAGGCCTCTTCATATCTTAAAGAGACACACACACCCTACATAATTACCCCTTAAATTGGTTGTGAAATGTGATGTAGCATTTTAAATTTTGTCACAATACAATCGAAAACCACTGATGAAAGATTTTTTCTGTATTTCCATATTTATTAATAGGTTACAGCATATAGTAAGTATATAATCGGATGAGTCATTGAATGTCTGGATCTTAAGTTATCAGAGAAACAAGCTGAGCTAAGGTTAGCAGCAGCTCGGCTCACAGCTGCTTTATTCAGTGTTTTCTCCAGTTTTAATCACCAGGTCCATTTGTCATGGAGAGGAGGATGCCTCTGTGGATAATTGGGCTCCTGGTAAAAACCTCCGGAACCTCTGGATCAAGTTATCAGAGAAACAAGTTGAGCTAGCGTTACACAGAACAGCATTGGCTTGCTAACAATGCTAACGTTAGCAACATGAGGTGATGAAAGGTTACCTATTATCCATTCCCGCTCTTTTCTCCATGTGCTTAATCCGCACATCATCAAACTGGTTCTATACACAAGTTTAATGTTACATACATTGCACTGCATGTCTAATTTTCGAAATACTTCCAAACATCACTGTTTGTGGTTGCACGTGCAGATATAAATGCAAGTACTCGATACATAGAACGAATACCAACGTCCTGAACGCAGCGAAACCTAAATATTAGTGCTGTCAAACGATTAAAATATTTAATCGCGATTAATCGCATTAATGTTATAGTTGACTCGCAATTAATCGCAATTAATCGCACATTTTTATCTATCCTAAAAATCCCTTGATTTCTTTTTGTCCCATTATTTTTTCTCATTTTAATGCTCTTATCAACATGGAAAAGTGGATCGGCTTGCTTTGTGCAAATGTTGTTTTTATTGAATAATCATCCATTGTCGCCTGGCTTTGTCGAGGGGGCGGAGAATTCGCATCAGCTGTGTGCTTGGCCATCAAGTTTCAGACTGGGCGTGCGGCGATGATAGCTCAGTTCACAACGACAAAACACACTGATCACTTTGGTCTTGTCAATGGAACCATTTGGCAACTTTTTAAAAGTAAACTTTCCTTTCAGAATATTATTGGCATCCATTTCGGCGTCTCGCGCTCGCCATCCACTCAAAACGTAACGTCTACTTCTCTTAAACAAGTGTGTGCAGCGTGCCTGTTGTTTTGTTTCCGGTCTAGCTAGATCCGGTGTGGTGTTGTAGTTTTTCTAACGTTACTAGTTGTTGCAACAGCATGTGAAAAAAAACTACAAAGTGTGTTAGGCCAAAAAGAACGTTAATCTTGCGATAAAAAACGCGTTTAACTGACACCACTACTAAATATCAATTTGAAACATAAACCAGGCAGCTTCACTTGTTACCGCTCACCCCACAGCACTTATGGCTTTTAACATGTGACAGCAGACTAAAATTCCGTCCACAAACACTGCAACTGTATGGTTTCTCTCCTGTATGAACTCTAATGTGTCTCTTCAAAGTTCCCTTTTCACTAAAACGTTTTCCACAGAACGAGCAACTGAACGGTTTCTCCCCTGTGTGACTTCTCAAGTGTATAACTAATGTTTTCTTCTGACTAAAACTTTTGTTACACACTGAGCAGCTGAATGGTTTCTCCCCAGTGTGACTTCTCATATGAGTCTTCAGATTGACCTTTGCACTAAAGCTTTTGTTACAGACGGTGCAGGTGAAAGGCTTTTCCCCTGTGTGGCTTCTCATGTGGGCGTGCAGATTTCCTTTGCAGCCAAATCTTTTATCACAGACGGTGCAACTAAATGGTCTCTCACGGGTGTGGGACTTATTATGATTCACAGTGCTCTCATTTTTCAGTGTGTCAGAACCGGACTCTTGCTCTCTTGTCTCCTTCCAATCATCATTACTATCCTCAGTCTCTGATTCACAACAGTATAAAGACAGAACCTGATGACTGCTGTCTGTCTCTCTTTCCATCTGTACAGCTGAGCTGCTGGCTGGAGGCTTTGCCTCTCTGTTCTCCTCAGTTTGTCTTTGATGGAGATGTGAGGACGGAACTTTCTCTTCATCATCTTCACTCTTCACAGAGACAGCAGTCAACGGGAACTTGGTGATATCATCCTCCTCCAGTCCTTGTATCTGCTCTCCCTCCTGACTGCTCCAGACCTCCTCCTGTTCTTCTTTAATGTGTGGGGGCTCTGGGTGCTCCTGGTCCAGACTGGTCCTCCACTCTTGCTGCTCTTCTTTTCTAACAATCAGTTGTCGGACATCTGGAGGCAAAACTGAAATACAGACAAACAGCTGTTAATATAAACCTTAGCAATACTTTACTAATTGGCAAACATGCTTTTCATTCTTATGTCCCAGGATGCTGTGCTGTGGCAATTGCTAATGGTTAAAGGTTCATAAAGCATAAAGACAGTCCTTAAGTGAAGAGCACCTGCTATCAACAAACTGATGTAGTAACATAGCCTAGCATGCTAACATACTCCATGGATGATTGCTGAAAAGAAAGAAGAGTATAATGCTTTCTGCAGTAAGCAGTTGAAAGCCACATATAATATTTACCCACAATGTTAAAGCTACAGTAGGTCAAATTTATTTAAAATGTTTTTTGTCATATTTGCTGAAACTTTCACTATATCCTGACAGTAGTACATGAGACAGATAATCTGTGAAAAAATCTGGTTCCTCTGGCTCCTTCTAGTGGCATTTTCAACAATGGGATGGATAATAAAACAGGCTAATAAGTTCTTGCACATATAGTCATACTGTACCCTGAAATATTAGAGCAGGTACTTATATAAGTAGTACTTTATACTTTGTTAAAATGATATATTCTAAAATATCCCCCCCAGTTCACACTGCCTACCTGAGCAGCATGTGACGGCTATGGCGCTGAACAGCTGTGTCTGGCATGCATGTCTACTGCAGAGCTGCTGCTGCCAGCCCTATATTTCTATACTGAGTTTGCCTTAAATACCATACCATAATAAAAGCTTTTTTAACATGTGAATGGATTCTGTACACACAAATGCCAGAGAGCTTTTAATCCGAAACAGATACAGGAGGTGTTGAATTTAAAAAATAAATTTATATTTTTTGTCGTATGCTAGAGTGTATATGTATATGTAGGGACGGCTGGTATGGGCTAACAGGGCTACGCCCGACCCTCTATCTTTTACAGTAAAGATGAAAAACTATTATTAAAACCTTAGAACATATTGTTTTGAATTTTGGCGAAACCTAGAGCAGCAATAGCACCAAACAGTGACAGGAAAAATCGAGGATATATGATATATCTTGGGTTTTTCCTGTGAAAATTAATTATTTCAGCCCAAGCACAGTAGCGTAAACTTCAATTCAATTTTGATTGACAGGCGTCGTGACACACCCCCTTCATATGCTGCCCATTTGGGCTAAATTCATTCAGCCCAAAGGCCAGTGACCTTCGACCAATCACAGCGCAGTAGCAACAGTACAGTGACCTTCGACCAATCACAGCGCAATAGCCACAGTACAGGGCTAGTTCATAGTAGAACGTGAAGAGAGGGAAGTGAACAACTGTAGTAATGGCAGGCATTAGCATGAACAAGAACGAAGTGGATTATTAACGTTCTAATACATTTTCTTTAATTTCTTTGGTGGAAAAATTGGAAGTGAAGAGATTGGGGACACATTATCCAAATGATGTTCAAATAACACAAAAGGACAAACGACAAAATCGTAACTTTTGTGTTACCTGGCTTCAGCGAAAGGACTGGCTAACGGCAAGTAGCTAGGAATTCACTTTTCTGTTTCCCATGTTTGCTTTTTGGAGGAGACACGGCTTGGACCCAACAAGGAATTGTGGATTTGAAACATTTATCCCACAAAATTAGGAAACATGAATGCAGCACGAGCCACATTGGAAATAGCGTAAAGCTGTCATTGCTGGGTAAAGTGAACATCGCCTGTCAGTTTAATGAGGGTCACTGCATCGCTGTACAGAGACACAACGAGCTTGTAAAGAAAAACAGGCATTCACTATCATGGATTGTGGACTGTATTACATTTTGTGGGGACACGAGCTTGCCCTGCGGGGGTCCGACGAATCTCCCTCTTCACTCCAGTGGTGCGTGTTTCTGGACCTCGTCGACCAGTTCTCTTTTTTAGACAGTCAATTGGACGATCACCTGTCAAACACACAGGTTGCAAAGTACACATGTAAGACCACAGATTCTCTCAAAATGAGACAGGCCCTGGAGAATTTTTTGTGCTCCGTATCTGAACTGAAGGACAAGCTGACCACAGATGACAATCAGCCACATCCAGATGCAGACACAGCTGCAGCCGCTGCACCGGGATGCAGCACTCTGATAATGTGTTAGTAGCCGCACAGTGCTGTCACACAATGGTCGAGCAGTCAAAGGCTCGCTTTGAGAAAGCCAGGCACTTGGTGTCTTTCGAACTGATTGACCCGGAACTCTTTCCGCTGTTTAAGAACACTTTCCAGCAGAAGCAGCTGGTCATTGCATGTGGACATTACCCAATGATCTGCAGAGAGAAACTGAAAGGTGAGCTGATGGTAACGCACAGCAGTGTGGAGTTTGCAGGCCTAACGTCCGCAATGTCACTTTTAAGGATGCTGACTGAGAACAATCTTCAGAGCACTTTTTCTGAAACACTGAAAGTAACGCAAATAGCCATCACAACCCCCATGACATCTGCAGAGTCAGAGAGGTGTTTCAGTACACTGAAGAGGATCCTTTCTTCTGAGTACAATGGGACAAGACAGGCTAAACGCACTGGCTATGCTGTCCATTGAGCGGGACATAACCTGTTTGTGTCACAGAAAGACTGTCGATGTGAGCTGCTGTTTAAATAAGGTATGCCCAAGCTCTACAACAACTCTCTCTTCTACAAATACTGTTATTTTTGCTTTGGTTTTGTAGATTTATTTTTGGTACATGGTGTTGCAAATTGTTGCTGGTACTTTTCTATAATGTAGTTGTAGCGCAATTGGCATTTTTTTTTTTGCATTTTTAGGCCAATCTTTTGGGTATGTCTCCCCAGTGTTGCTGTACCTTGATGTGATGCTGCTGTTGCTGCTGTTGCTGCTGTGTGACGTATTGATGAATGTTATGCATTTGTTAGCCCACCCACCAGCCGTCACTGTGTATATGTATATATGTATATGTTGCTGGTATAATGTCAGTATCACTATGAACAGACCATTTTTACTGCCTATTTCAGCTGGGAACTCGCAAGAAAAATAGGCGAGATCTCGACTCTCTAGTGAAGCACTGCTGCAGCCACTAAGGCAGGCAGTGTGATGGCTCTAATCTGTTAACCAGGGCGCCAAAAATAAAAAGCAAGACGTTCCGCCACGCAATGCTCAGGTAAGCAGTGTGAACTAGGGCTGTCACAAGAACCGATACTTCGTTACCAAGTCGATAGCATAATTCTGAAAACGTGATGGTACTCATTTTTCTACAGTACTATACCAAGGATTTAATTCTTCCAGACTTGACGGGGCAGCATATACACCTACAAATAATCAAAGACAGCGACAAGTGCAGTTATACAGGTGATTTACTAGTGGAACTTTGGTGCACAGCCCTCCATGTCTCTGTCGCTGTGCTGTGTGTGTGTGTGTGTGTGTGTGTGTGTGTTGCAGGAGCCCCGCCCCACCCACTGTGAAACATCGCCACGGGCAACGCAGAGTTATTCACCTGTATTATTAAGGAAAGTACAAGTACAGGATCAGGACTCTGTATCAGCAGATATTAAATGGGGATCGGGGGCGAACAAAACTTAATTGGGACATTTTGAACGTGGTATTAAATTGGAATTGGGAATCATGGATTTTTGCTGGTATTAGTAATGACGACTACATTTTTGGTATTGTGACATCCCTAGTGTGAATGAGCCATTACCGTCTTGTTTTGTCTGACCAGTCCAAAATCCAAAGATGGTAGAGATATACTTGGCTCCATTGGTTGTTTTCTCATGTACTACTGTCAGGATATAGTTAAAGTTTCAGGAAATATGAAAAAAGGTTATTTTCATAAAAGTTCCCCTCCTGCAGCTTTAATCTAGCAATATAATTACATTCTTTAAGTCTTTGCTCTGGCTCTGCGCTTTTATTGTGAAGGTCTACATTGGTCAACTTCCGACTTTAGTCTGTCTCATGAAACGCGGCAGCAGCAGGCTAACAGCCCTTCGCTAACAGACTGACACACTCTTGTTACTGCTGTTCAGTTAGCTGTTTGAAAGCAGTGTAAACGGTTTTCAGCTGACACTGCAGTGGAACCAGTACAACAGTGGAAGCATCCACCGACCTGCGGTGTCTGTGGGGGGGTCAGGCTTCACAGCATCCTCCAGCAGCCTGCGCTGGCGACCGAGCTCCTCTTCGTAGTTTGAAATGGTTGTTTCCAGCAGCCCGAAGATCTCATCTACAGCCGCACTCAGCCGCTGGGTAACGAAGGCTCTCAGTGTTTGGATCGTGGACATTTTCACGCAGTAACCGGCGGTTGGTAGCGGTGTCTGTGCGGCCGTCCCTCCCTCTTCTCTTTGCCGCTCCTCCAGCTGGGTCAGACGCCAGGAGCCCCTCCTTCCTCCTTCCTCCCTCGCTCCCAGAACACCTCTCCTCACACACACACACACACACACACACACACACACACACACACACACACACAATATACAGATGGGTGACATTTTAAAGGATATGTATTTCTGTGGATTAAAGCTGCAACAGGTAACTTTTATAAAAAAAAATATATATTTTTTTTTACATATTTGCTGAAACTGTAACTATATCCTGACAGCATTACATGAGACAGATCATTTGTGAAAAAATCAGGAGCACTAGGAGGAGCCAGAGGAACCTGTTTTTTTTTCACAGATTGTCTGTCTCACATACTACTTTCAGGATATAGTTAAAGTTTCAGCAAATATGTAGACAAATATATATTTTAATAAAAAATACCTATTAGCTTTATTTTATTTTGTTTTATTTTGAAAGTGGCCTTCTGGTTTGTTTATAGTCAGTGATTTTCAATCTAATTTCATTTAAAGCTGCAGTAGGTAACTTTCATGAAAATAACTTTTTGTAATTATTGCTAACATTTAACAGTAGTACATGAGACTACTACAAAGGTAGTTTTTTTGGGGTTTTTTAATATATATATTTAAAATAAACAATAATTACTTATTTAAGTATGTATGCGTTTAAAATGCACAAAACATATAATATATGAAATATATGTTTGGGGGAAATTTGCTTCCTGTTCATCCCCGCTCTCGCATCTGGGGCAATAGAAACTTTGCCCACTTCCTTTTAGCACCCAAATCCAAATCATGTAATAAAATCATCTCAAGAATGTATTATGGCACTCTCCAGTCCAAATCTGAAAATACACTGTATATAAAAGAGAAGTGGGAGAAGGAAGGGAATTTGAACATTTCAGAGGAGGGCTGAAGAAGAATATGTGAAGCACAATGAAATTCAACTACTTCAACTGAATGGCAAGAATTCTGTTGGAAAAATAGTAATAGTAATTGTAAGGTTCTTTAACACACCCCTGCAAACCGACACCTGACTTCCATATTTTCTGGAGCTGCCAGGTTATTGTGCCCTATTGGCAGGAAATTCATAAACACATTAATAATATCTTTGGTGCTAACATTACAGGAAAAGGATGGAACAGCTAGGACAGGAGAGTAAAAAGGCTGTCACAAGGAAGTGGCTAAAATCTGAGCTACCCACCATTAATGGAATGAATGGATACAAAAAATACATGAAATATATAATTCTCCCCCCAAAAAGATTTTTGGGATTTGGATCAAGTGGACTGAGCAGCTAAAGCCCTTAGTGCAGACTTTAGTTAACTTGATAGAATAAATGAGTGGAAATCTAATGTGAATTATACTATTTTTCATCACACCTAATAGCTCACTCTTTATTCATTTCTACCTTTATTATTTTTCTTCTCTAAAATGAAAACTTCTCATGTTTAACTGTAAATAATTAAAACTAATGTTGTGTAAGAAAACTAGTGGCAGAGCTGAGCTGTAAACTGATTTGGTGCACTGTAAGACTGAATCTACCACTTTCTACTCACTTTATATATGCTTCACTTAGGCAACATTATTAGGAATCACTCCATTAACTTTCACTGTTATGCAGATGATACCCAGTTATATCTATCAATCAAACCAGATGAAATTAATCAGTTATCTAAATTACAAGCATATGTCATGTGTTTTCGTAGCTTTCATTGGAGTTGTTGTGAACTGTAGACTGATGTAGACTTGAGCATTTGGGAAATCATGTGATCAAATTCAGGTTAAAATGTGATGTATTAAAAAGTCATGTGATTAAAACCCAAGTTAAAATGTGATATATTTAATATCATGTGGGTTAAAAGTACAGTTAAGAAAAGGGGTGTATTTTAAAAAGTATTCAAGCTAAAAGTAATTTGATAAATGTGATTTATGTGTATTTAAGAGGTAAAAGCTGCTAAAGATGGTTAGGTTAAAATCATCATTGAACAGTGCTTTAAAATGTATTTAATTTATTTTGGGTGCTTTAAATGTTGGTATTTTCTACTTATTTTCGAGGTTAATTTGTAGTAGTTTAAAAATTAAGTATTTGAGTTTGAGTTATGGTGATTGATTCTGGTTTCTTGGGTTACATTTTCTTAAAGGTCTATTTGTGTTTGTATTTTAAGGTTTTTTCACCTGTTATTGGCCTCTGCAACATTCTAAATAAAGAAAAGAAAGAAAGCTGAATCTTGGTCATTGAGTGAATTCCAGTCCAATCTTCTGAAGCAAGCTGCCTTTTCAAGTGGGGGAAGCTGCAGGTCAAACCTCACAAGAGTGAGGGCAACTTGGCACACATGGTCCGAAGCGGTCAGCCATCTTTTCCAGTTAGACAAATGTAGAAAACAGCATGTTACGATTTCTCTTTTCATCTGACTCCATCCGCCTGTGTAAGCCTTGGAGAAGCTTTGTTTGTGAGTATATTAATTAATTTCTGTTTATAGAAATTATCACTACTCACATTTATTATTATTATTATTATTTCATATTTATTTGCGGGTTTCATAGCCATTTTTGTATTGGTTTGTTTTCAGTTTCACACTGAAGCTACTGATGCTACTACTGCTATTACTACCACGTGGAAGCTCTGTAACTGCAATAAACGGACGTACAAGTGCACGTTGGCAACTTATAATGCTCCTTCAAGCTACCTTGGGGTACATCAGTCAAGTCAGTCAAATCAGTGTTTAGCTATCTGGTGATGTGTGCCTTGCTACGTGCTCAGGTGCCAGAATAGGTGTCGTGGGTCCAGAATGTGACAACTGCCACAAATGGTTTCACAACTTGTATGTCAGCTGGTAGGAGGAGCTGGACAAAGAACATTTTTGGTGTTTTTGGTGTCTCGATGTTTGATTTATTTATTATTAGGGCCCGAGCACTGACCAGGACCTATTGTGTTTGCTAGGGTTATTATTATTTTAGTACCAAATTAATCACATTTTTGGAGGCCGCAACATGCTCGAAAAGTTACGAAAGTCTGCACACGTGTCAGTCATGGTGAAAAATTCCGTATTGTATGGGTCTCCACTATGACCATGGCAAACTTCTTCAATCTCAACGAAACTTCACATGTATGATAAGAGTCCCGTCCAGAACACGTCTACATGATAATATTCAGATAGTCATAGCGCCCCCTACTGGAAACAGGAAATGCCATGTTTCATAGTTTCATGTTCTAGTCCTAGCAGGTTGATCATATCCAGCTGAAATTTAGTTAGAAAACACATTGTTGATGATATTTCACATTGTTGATGATATTTCATGATTGTGGTGACTGTTTGTTGAGTCATTTGTCTTTTGATTAAAGAATATAATTTCATTCAACATTGATTTGTTATATTATACTATATACTAACTCTGCACTGAGTGTATTACAGGTAATTGTTATATGTGCATACAGCATATGTGTCTATAATTGCTAAATTAAATGCATCAGCTTGTATTTTTTTAAGTGATTGAAACGAGAAGTGTTTAACAAAATATCCAGTAGGTGGCGGTATAGCTTTACTGCATAATTTAGAGTTGTTGAAGCATTGTATCTTATTTTGAAGGAGGGAAGTACGGTCTCGGATGAGTTGATGTTAGTTTGTCTGACTCAGGAACAACTTAATACCCCCACAACACCAGCAGCGCTCAATGTTTACAGCAAGACTCAGGAAATGCGCACGGCTAAATCACCAGCGATAGCGTCCTTTTACCGACTCTAGTAAAGAAGTAAATGGTTAAAATGATACATGGTTAGAAAGGTAAGAACTTCGTCTTTACTTTAACACCTTTAAATCAACTGAAACCATTAAGTGATCATTTATATTAGTAGTTAAAGGGAATTGCTAATAGAATGTTAGCAATAAAAGTGTCTGACTCAGGACACATGTATGTTACTTATATGGTATAGAATGTGGATAGCCTAAGACTAATTAAAAAATAAGTCATCTTTGAAACATTACCTTATCTTGTGCCAGGCTTATTGGTATCACACAAACTGCAGAATGCCGGTTGAATCCTCAAAAAGGACAATACATTGTAATAATAAATAAATGAACTATCATTACACTAGGACCTGGAGTGAGTGGACCTCCCCAAGCACCACTAAACATGAAAGGTATAGAACATATAACACATAGGCCTCAACTGACTTTACATGTTTGAAAGGGAACAATGATAATGTAATGTATGTATCAATGTGCTGTGCAAATATATATGTATTTATATACATTAAAAAATATATAAGATCAAAGGCATAGAGACACGCTTGTCAATCTGATCCAGTAATCAATTAAACTTAAAAAGGTTAAAATATAATAGATTTTACATTTTAGACATCTGGATCCAGCTTCAACAGCATTCAGTGGCTTTATTTCAGCTACTTCACAGAAACAGTGTTAAAAGAAAAAACGGCATCTGAAAAAAAAGGACAAGCAGGTACGCTGTGTAATATCTGAATGACTGACAGTGCATAAAAATAACTTTAGAGTGACGCTTTGATATGAACTGAATGAATTCGAACATGTAATGAATTAAACAGAGAAGAAGACAGGAAGGCTCAGCGTTTAAGTTAGCTACCTCTTCTACAGAGTTTCCCTGATCTCCAGGTGAGCAAACTCAGTTTTGACTAAACTTTAGCTAAATAACATTACAGCATAGCTAGCTTTGTAATAGCAGTTAGATGACAGAGCACATTAATATGAAAATATAAGGACATTGAATAACATAATCTGTCACAGTCGCATAGCAATAGTGCTACAGGTCTATATACCATTCAGAATCATTACCACTTTTTCCATAGGTACCGTTAACAGGTGACTGAAAAAAAAATCACTATATTTAAATAATTCAATTAACATTATAAACGTTTGACAACTATAGGCTTTAACTAACAACCACTAGTCGACTTGGAAAATCTTTAGGGCAACAGCCAAGCGCAGCACAAAGGCGAGCTAAAGTGGAGTGTCCGATATTCCTTATGAAC